CCTTATCTCTACTGCTAATGCCTACTCCCTATCTGAGCCTGTCCTCTGCACTTCAGAGTGTCATTTTACGTTTATTTCTGAGATTGGGTAATCCCTGTTACTTTTTCTAATAATAACAGTAACAACTATGAACATTTACTAAATGCCAAGTACTGTTCTAGTCGATTTACATGTATTAACTTATTTAATTCTCATAAAGGCCATAAGATTGTTATTAGCCCATTTTACGGATTAGAAAACCGAGGCACAGAGAAATTAAGTGTCCAGGATCACACAGCTAAATGCAGGGTTCAAGATTCAAGCCAAGTCAGTGAAGTTCCAAAGCCCATCCTCTAAAAGAATATTCATGTCTTTTTTAATCTTTATCCCCCTATCACATCTCAGCCGTATCTTGCACGCATATGTTAGCTAAATGCTTATGGAATGAAGAGGCAGAAAGAAAAGTAAAAGATGCAGAAATAGGTAAGAAAAGGCAGAGAGGGACAACCAAAGAGTGGTAAGAAAACTAGCTTTCCAAAGCAAACGCAGTTTCCTAGAAGGAACTCGAGACGGTGCAATCAGATAGATTAAGGAAAGGGACAGTGACTTCAATACCTAGATGGATGAGGCAGGTAAATGGAAATTAGGGACCTTGGCTGGTGAAGGCCATGGAGTGATGGAAACCATGGTGGATGGACAAACACTAATAGGTCCCACTGCACGTTGCCATGCAGGCAAGGATGGGGCCAAGGGTTGCCAGAGCTTAGGATTTTTCAAGAGAAGATGAAAACCTGGATTTTATGTGAAATTCTTTATTTTTGTAAACTGTTGTCAAGTAGTTCAAATTAAAGGAAAAATAAACACTCTATGGGTTAAACCTAGGGTGAATGTATCAAGATGAAACCCCAAGCTCAAAGGTCGGGCCAGATTTTCGAGCATCCTGAATGTCTGTGAGAGGACTTTTGGGGCCTATTCAATACTCAACATGCAAAATTGTATTTAAACTAGCATGGTTCAATTTTGGGGGTAATAGAACTGTTGCATTGGGGTTAGACTTGTTCATTCTTTTACGGTATACAAACATTGCTTCTTGAATTACTTTATGGTTTCCTAAAGGAGTTGATTTGCAGGCTTCAAATGAGGACATTTCTTTCATTTCTCAGGCTCAGCCCTGGGCCAGAATAAGATGAGTCATAGCTGGTCCCTCAGTGTGGGGGGGAGGGATAAATAAGGAGGTTGGGATTAATATATACACATGTATATGTATACACATATACATATATACCTACTGTATAGCACAGGGAACTCTACTCAGTACTCTGTAATAACCTATATGGGAAAAGAATCTGAAAAAGAAGAGATACATGTATATGCATAACTAAATCACTTTGCTGTACACCTGAAACTAACACAACATCGTAAATCAAATATACTCCAATATAAAATAAAAAAATTTTAAAAAGAATAAGAAAATCCAGAAAAAAAAAAGCAGGGAAGTGACAAAACCAACCAGGTAACCTGATAATGCAAAGAATTAAACATCTAACAGTGCAACTTTGGGAGTATGTGCTGGAAGATTTGGACAATGAGAAAAGTGGGAATAGTTTGGCGAGGCTTCAGGGAGAATGGGTAGAAGTGGGGCTGTGGGGAAAATGGACGTCTGAAATTGAGCAGAACAAATAATAAAATCAAGGTGATAAGAGCCACTTCATCCTCTTGCCCTTTCTTCCAACAAATTCCGTGCGTATGGCTTGAGTACCTACCGTGGGCTTAGCACTACGCTGGCCACTGGGGACAAAGAACAGAGATGCCCTAAAGACGAGGAGGATGGACCTGGGTTCAAAGCAGCAAAATGCTTAAGACATAGGCAGACTGGTGTGAATCTTGTCCCTGTCACTAATTAATTTTTTGATCTTAAAGGAATTTCTTAGCAACTCCAAGTCCTAGTCTCTGTATCTGTAAAATGGGGAGAGTAGTTCCATCAATCACATAGGTTTACTGTGAGATTGACAAAGAATATTTGTGTAAACCAGTCAGCACAGTGCCTGCCACAGAGTAAGGACTTAACAAACAATAGCAATTACTACATTTACATGTAAATTCTCCAATAGAAGAATATCAAAGATAGTGTTGACCCAAAGGGGAAAATTATTTTCTATCTCTTCATTTTATTTGTTTCCTTCATAGCATGCACTACAATTTGAAATTATGTTCCCAAAGGCTTCTTAGTTCTTCTATGCTACCTGTACCCCCAACCCCCCATTGCAAGGTGCAGGAAAGCATCTGCTATATCCACCTTGGCCTCCCAATGTTTCCTAGCACCTAAGCCTATGTTAGGTACCTACTAGTAATAACATTTTTGAACACTCATATGTGTGGATTCTAATCCATTCTAGTGCATTATCTCATCTAATCCATTGCAGCAATCTAAAGGATTGTTGCTATTATTCTCTCCAATTTAAAAATGAGGTGACTGAGACCTACAGAGATCGAGTCACTTGCTCAGGTTCACATGGCATGTAAGTGGAACCAGGGTTGAAATGTATTCTGGCCAGTGCTATAGCCCGTGCCCCCATCCAATGCCAATGTAGTATCTGTAGAATAAATGCATTAATGAATGGGCAATGGAAAAAAAGGCTCACAGGGGAGGGGACAATTTAATTGGATAGGAGGATGAGTAGGAGTCTGCAGGTAAACAAGGGACAGAGTACAAATGTGTGCATGCATGAAATGAGATAGTAACTACAGGAAGATCGAGTATAGGAAACAAACAAACAGTGTGTGTGTGTGTGTGTGTGTGTGTGTGTGTGTTTGATAGAGACAGAGAGAGACAGAGATAGACAGAAAGAGACAGAGAGACAGAGAACAGGTCTTAATGAATTTGGGCATTTTCCTACCAGCAGCGGAGAAAACACTGAAGGGAAAACATGGGGCACAGTTACGTCCCTTTCTATAATCAACCTTCTGGTCGCAATAAGGATGAATCACAAGTTAGAAGACAATTGTGGCTCTGTGAGCAGTTTCAGATATTTCTGAATTTGGAATGTTTAGGTATTAACCGGAAGAAATATTTCCAATTATAGTTTGGAACAGTCCACAAGAATTAATGAGAGCAAACCTCAACCTTATTCAGAAAGGGGTTCCCTAAATGGATTTTTGAGCTTTTCCTGTTTTTGATCCAATATTGGACTGCACAGTTCTGCTAGGTGTTACTTTAATTCTTGGGCTGAAACAGCCACGTAAACACAAACGTGGACAGGCACTAAACTCTTGGACGGTCTTTAGTTTGGGAATTTAAACACAAGGAATGGTTAGGTTTTGCAGTGGCCATCATTCCAAAACATAAATCAGGCCAAATTTGTTTGAATTCCTGTCTTTAGAAGGTTGTGTGTTTTGACAAACCTTGCAGCAAATTTGGTCCAGCTTTTGGATTTGTAATGAAACCTGAAACCAAACGTGCTGGCCTGCCTAGGGGTCCTCTTGAAGGAAAGAGTTCCAAGCAGCCTTACTGTAATGCCTTCCCTAATCTCATCCTGGCAAGAGACGTTACTGTATTGGGCTGCACTGGAAGTTTGGGGTGGACTCTGCAAACATTTCATGCACTTATGGAAAAGGACTAATCAAGACCGCAATTTGGGGGCATTTCTATGCTTGAGTATTCTTAAGAGTGTAAATTGCAGAATTAGCAATACCTTATCCCCTGTTGGCTAGTGACTTAGAGATACCCCAAGCCATGACTGGGGCAGAAAGTTAATTAATCTGCTTATTAAAAAGAAGAAATGTCTCATTTGCATGCATTTACATTTAAGTCTTGCATGCATCAAGCTTTTTGGTGGTCTTTGCTTTCTTTCCTCAATACCACTGACCTAGCTAGATATTAGCTCAAAACATTTACATTTTCTGCATCTGAGCTTTGTTTAAGGGGTAGATGTCTGGTTATCATTGGTTCCAGCAGAACTTCATTGTCATACAGATCATTTAATCTTTATAGACATCCTTTCCTCTCCCATGGGCTGTGCAAATTTTCTCCCAGTTATCACATACCACAATTGAGAAAAGATTCATGTACTTGACCAGTCTTAGAAAATAAAGACCTTGTCTCCATTAGAGTTGGACATGTTATTTGGGGATGAGCCATTCAAGTATTTGTAATTTCCTACTCAACTGAATTTTCCATGGTCATTTTTGTGGGAGTTTTCTCTTTCTTGCTTTTCCTCTCTTACTTGGAGGTCTGTTGGCAGGGTGTTTTTTTTTTTTTTTTTTTTTTTTTTTTTTTTTTTTTTTTTTTTTTTTTCCCC